TCAGTTATAGAGTATGTGTTTAGCAGGTGCAAGGCCCTGGGTTCAATCTGCAGTACACACACACCCCACAAGAGCTGTTTTTCGTCTTTCCATCTTTACCACTGTATCTGATACAGAATAAAAGTATCTGATATAACAGGCACCTTTGTGTGCTGTATTATCTCATTTAATCCTTATAACAACATAGTCAAGTAAAAGTACTGAAACTCAGACACAGAATTTAAGAACCTCTCACACTCTTGTTAGTGTGACTCTTTATTTTTAATCAATATATTTAATTTTAAGAGCAATTTTTTTTGGTACCAGGGATTGTACTCGGGACCTTGCGCTTGCGAAGCAGGCGGTGAAGAGCAATGTTTTGTTTGCAGAAAAATTCCAAAAATATAAAGTTCCCGTGTACTTCCTCCGTGAAGTTGCCACTATCATTAACATTTTGCCTGCCTGGTACATTTCTTGCAGTTGATGAACTGGGACTGTTAGATTGTTAACTAAAGTTCATAGTTCACTTTAGGATTGATTCTTTAGCCCTTTTTATTTTTAATTTTAAAACAAGGACTCCTTAAGTTACTGAATTGGCCAGCTTGGGCTTGAATTTATAGTTGTCCTGCCTCAGCCTCTCAGGGTGCTGGGATTACACCGAGTGCCCCCATGGCCCATTTAGAATTCATTGTTTTGTCCTATGGTTCTATGGATATTGATAATTGTATACTGTATCCTTCAGTATCATAGTATAGACTATCATACAGTGTAGTTGGACATGCTAGAAATGTCCTGTTTCCTCTAGTTGTCCTTCTTGCTGCCCTGTATCTTCTAATATGTACATTTAACACTATAAATTTTTCTCTACTGCTTTTATGGTACGCCACAAATTTCTCTTGAGATTTGTTTGACCCTTATACTATTTAGCAGTATGTTTAATCTCTAAATATTTTGGGAGTTTTCAGCTAGTTTTCTGTTGTTAATATTTGATTTAATCCCATTTTTGTCTGAGAGCGTACTTGTAATAAATTTGTTAAGGTGTGTTTTATGGCCCATAGTGATCTGACTTAGTGACTGTTCTAACTGAACTTGCAAAGCATGTATGGGCCTGAATAAGTTTCATTGGATCCAAATGAGAGTGCCTGCAAGGCTGCACTTTCTTTGGAGACTGCAGAGAGAATTTGTTACCTTGCATGAGGCTCCTACTCTCTTGGCTTTATAGCTCCTTCCTCCATCATTCAGGTCATCACTTAACCTTTGGTATATTGCTCCTCTTTTAAAGATTTTCATTACAGTGGTCCACCTAGATAATACAGGATAAACCCCCCCCCCCCCCCCCCGCCCCGGCCCCTTAACATAAATCACATCTGCAAAGTCTTTATGTTCAGTGAAACAAAGTAATCACAGGTTCCAGGGATTAGGATGTGTTCACCTTGGAGGTAGACTTAAGGTATTTATTTGGCTGTACATAATATTAAAGTTAAGATGGAAATTCAGTAAGCCTAATCTTTGGAACCACTTTTCTATTCTTTCTGCCTTTCCTACTGCTATCTAAATGTCTTAGCTGTGCTGTATTTTAATTGTCTGTGTTTACCTCTCTCACTAGGGCATTAGCATTCTGAAGCAGGACATGTAGCATGTGAATCAGATGAGTTCAGATAAATGAAATTATATGAAACGATGAGACATCAACAATTCACATTTGATAGGTAGCCTTGTCTTTAACATACACATTACAGTGTGACTGTAATCACCATTCCTCCAGATTACTCTTCCCAAATTATAATACGTGTTAAATATGATTTATCTAAAATGAAAATTCTCATAACTCACTTTAATTTTGGTTTCTTTTAAGGAGCAAAAGTAGTATATTTGAGAGATTTTATGTCCTTAATAATTGTTTTTTTTGTTGTTTTTCTTTTTGGTACTGGGGATTGAACTCAGGTCCTTGTGCTTGTGCAGCAGGCGGCAAAACTGCTGAGCTAAATCCCCGGCCCTTAATAATTGTTTTAAATACAGAAAATTTGCCATTGTTTGGTTTGGTTTGGTTTGGTTTGGTTTTGTATAGACAGAGTCTCTCTATGTAGTTCAGGCTGATCTTGAACGAACTATGTAGCCCAGCCTGGCCTCGAACTTGTGGCAATCCTCCTGCCTCAGCCTCCTGAGTGCTGGGATTATAGGCCTGTGCCGCCATGCTCGGCTGCCATTGGTTTTGTTTTGCCAGATCTCTTCTAGTCATCTGAAAGCACAATTAATAGTAAAATGCTTTGATGGTTTATTTTATTATCCTGTTTCTTTATTCTTAGAAGTACTTTTTGTGAGAATTTAACACTGGTGACTATAGTAAAGGAGTATGTAAAATCACTTTCAGATAGTGTTTTCATTTTGCTGGTAGATTTACTAAGTTTCTGTGCAGTTACAGACCCCACCCATACTTTAACCTGTTTCCCATTTTGATGAGGTCCAAGTGCAAGAAAAACAGCAACAACAACAAAAAATCTTCCTGTGTGGCCTGTAGATAGCAAATGTGAAGATTATTAATGCACTTCCCAGCTAGGAACCATAAGCAAACAAACACTCCTACAGGTAACTACACCCTTCCTGTTTGGGATTGAGTTTACTGTGGAACAGATTTCGGAAATAGGTTTGTGACAGTTTAGAGTTGTATTTATAAAATGTTAGTGGGTGAGGTCTTCCTTTAACACAAACTATTTCCTGTCTGATGCCCAGCCAGGACATTTTAAAGGCTTTTTAGAACATTTTCCCTCTAGTAGATTGTATTGCTTTTAATAGTTCTGGTAGTTCTTGTCAGCCACTGTACAAAAATTTGTTTCCAGTGAATAATTTTAAAATGACTTTTAGTTGAAATAGGCATAATAAAAACTAAATGTTTGTAGTATCTTGTCAGTAGAGTGACAGTAGCTAACAGTTTAAAGGTATGAAAATTTTATTTTGGTTCTTTAGCATTCAAATCTAGCATTTTTATTTTCTGTAAACAGGCTTAATGAAGAGTTACAGTTTAGGTAAAAAGCAGATTTACATTAAAGAATTTGCAGGTTAATTCACAGTGTAACATTATCCTCATCTAGTACATCTGTTATAAAAAAAGCCTGTAATATTTAGGCCACCCACAAAGTGGTCTGCTGAGGTCTGTGGTAGTAGAATGCCATTATTATGTGGGCTGACTGGTTTGGTAAGGAATTTACCTCCACTAAGACTGAAATATCATGGTTCTGGCTTTCCCCCACAAGGACTGCAGGGCTTGACTTGGTCGCTTTGTTAGCTCAATCGTGGTGTGTTCTTTTGCCTTGGCGTCATATGTAATACGATGTGAATGGTATACTGTTTCTGAAGGTGGTTTATCAGAATACTAATGGCAGTTCTGGGTCATGTAAACTTCAGGATAAACTGGAATAAATGGTTGGTTTAAATTACTGAATTAAATATAATAGCTATTATGAGTAAATCTCATCACTATTTAGAAAGAATGTGTATGTTATTGCTGAGAAGGCAGCTAAGGTTTTTAAATACTATAATTTCTGTGTCATTTGAAGAACTTATCCTTTAAATTTCCTTGGGACTTGTAAATTGTTTTCAGGATCACTAAATTGAATTTCATAAAATTTAGTAGCCTAAAGCTGAGAATCAAAATTAAAATCTTCAAATAGCCATTTTTTAAGCCATCAAAATAAATTTCACAGCCACCACAACTAACAGTGATCATTTGAGGAATGAAAACTGTTGTAAGCCCAGCTGTATCTCAAATTACTGATTTTTTTTTTTGGTACCGGGGATCGAACTTGGGACCTTGTGCAAGGCAGGTGTGGTGCCACTAAGCTAAATCCCCGGCTCAAATTACTGATTTAAGTTTTTTGGGGGATGAATAAAATTTTTTTTAGAGAATAAACAACATTGTTACTGTTATATTTGAAAAATAAAAGTTAATGTAACAGGTTTTTGGGCTGGGGATTTAGCTCAGTGGCAGCATGCCTGCCTCGCAAGCACAACGTCCTGAGTTTGATCCTTGATACCAAAGAAACAAAAAAAAGTTAATGTAACAGGTTTTTAAATCAGATGATTTGTATTTCACATAATGTTTATGGAGATCCAGTGTATTTTTCCTTAAATACCTTAACTATTGAGTCCAAAAAAAGCATAGAAATCTAAAATGAGTTTCGTGACTACAAAGTAAGGAAGTGACATTTAATATGGGAAGAAATATAGTAGTTTGGGACAGGAGGTAAAAATGATAAAAATTATATACACTTTTGAAGTAAAATATATACTTTGAAGTGGAAATACATGCTAAAGGCATATATTGTTTGTCTGTATCACAGGTATATATACGTACAGGTGTGTTTAACATACTGTTTTGATCTTAGCCCTGCCTCAAATGACTTTATTTGTGGTTACATATTTCTAACGGAAAAGGTTTTCCCCCACATAGACACTTAGCATTCTATTTGCTTGCTTATTTCTGTGGTGATGGAGAATGAACCCAGGATCTGTTTGCTAGGCAAGTGCTCTGCCATTGAGCTACACCTTTTAGCCCCTTCAACATTTTTATAATTGCTTGTTTTATAACAGACAATTTTGAATTTGTCATCTGGTCATGATTCAAGCAGAGAATCTAAAGTTAGGGCCTCCAAAACTTTTTTCTTCCAGACAAATAAATGAACAAAGTCGTTCATGTGCCCTGCCTAGCTATTATTCTCACTGCTTCTCTAGCCTGATGTCCTTTAACTAGACGGCCTTGCACAGTGCTAACAAATGCCACGCCATAGCCCGAAGAGCAGTGTCGGCATGTCAGTGTTTTGTACTCACTCAGGTTGGCAGTGAATATCCGAGAGAGGTTTGAACAGCCTCTGGCAGCAAAGGCCATGACATTATCACAGAAATTCATTTGTCTTATTGTGTTTCCCCTTTAGATTTAAGCATTTTAATTCTGTCAACTCAATTAGCTAAATGTTTGACTAATTATTTTTACTCTCAGTTAACCAGAATGTGTTTTACCATTCTAGGTTTACCGACAAGACTGTGAAACTTTTGGGATGGTGGTGAAAATGCTGATTGAAAAAGATCCTTCCCTAGAAAAGTCTATACAGTTTGCACTGAGGCAGAATTTACATGAAATAGGTGAGCGGTGTGTTGAAGAACTCAAGCATTTCATTGCAGAGTATGATACTTCTACTCAAGAGTTCGGAGAACCTTTTTAGTGCTCAGGCAAAAAAATGTTTCTAGATTTTTTTTCCTGGATTGTGTGAATCCTTAATATATGGAATTTTTGTGATGAAGAGAAATATTTTGAGTTTTCAGTATCAAGTAAACATCTAACATAGTCTGTTTAAAATATTTTAATTAGAATTTTTTTCTACAAGTAGGACCTCCTAATCCATATTCATCTTCCACCCCCCAAATGATGGTCAGTTAATTAAGCTTTGAAGAAGCAGTCCCGGAGAGCAGTTTTTTATACTTACTCATGTTCCATAAGCTCCCAAGCCTGTTATTTGTTTGGTCACATGAGTGTAACTTACAGGTTAGAGATCATTCCACTTAAACATTAGTAGTCTTTTTACATTTCATAGTGAGTGATACCATGTGGAAATATTGGAATTCTGAGTTGTGATTTTTATTAACTTGTTGCTTGTTTGTCTTAGGCTTCATTAGTTTTAATATGCTAAACTATACAATTGTAATAATACTGAGTGCTTTGGTATCTTAGAGGATATTTGCTTTGAATGTAATTCTCATTCAGTGATAAAACAGAGCACTTAAAATCTCTGAAAGACATCAGAATAAAATCTTTTTTCTTAGTAAATGAACTTAGTATGTCCCTTCTATTAAAATACTACTAAAGCTCTTAACTCTTCTGACATCTTAGTTTCATGTGTGAGACTAAAAGAGGGGGTAATTTGAGTTGGAAGGTGAGGAGTATTTTAAAGTTGAGATTGTTTGAAAACCTTTTTGATCAATTGAAAAATTTAAAACATGTAAGCGTATTGGAGTTTATTTTTATAAGCCCATATACTCTATCTCAAAAGTAATTAATACAGTGCTTAGAATTAAATCATTTACAGATTTTTTTGTTGTTACTTTGTGATCTTGTGAGTTCTCTGTTCTCCTGACTTTGAGAGGTACATAGTCTTTCCTAATGTTCTTGAAAAAACACAGCAAAATAGGCAGTAAGGGCCAGACATGGTGGTGCATGCCTATAATCCTAGCATTCAGGAGGCTGAAGCCAGGAGGATTATTGTGAGTTCGAAGTCAGCCTGGGCTACATAATGAGTTCAAGGCCAGTCTGAACTATATAGCAAGACCTTGTCTCAAAAAAACCATAAAAAGGTGTGGAGAGCAGTAAGCCCAGCACAGTACCCCTTACCAAGCAGTCTGGGTAAGCAGTCCTTCATGAGTGAGCCATCAAATCATGGGTTAGTTAAGAATCTAACTGGGACCATTGGGACAGTTCATTCATTTCCTAGTCACTTCCAGCATCCTACTGACACTGAGCCAAAATATATAATTTTGTGGCATTAGTTAACAAGGAAACATTAAAAAACATTAGTTTGTCACTGCTACCCAGTTTCTTCTTGTCTTTCCATTTCCACTCTTTTGGCATTATTTTTAGTAGCTTCTTGATACTCTAAAGAGCTATCCCACAGTACAGTAAGATTATATTAAAAGTGGAAATAGCAGTGTGTTTTAATGGACCTTATGCCTCAAAATATGTATTATGCCATTTCGAAAATCTAGAAACTTAATTTAGGGCAACATTTAATTTTTTTAAAGTTTCCTAAGTGAGACCATCTTGAATTTTTATTTTTGCCATTGACATGTACTTATCTTTTATAAAACATAAGGCAAATGAAATCCCATATATTATTTCTGATAGTCTTTCTTATTGTGAAGGAAGACTGTAGGAATAGTCTTTAGAACGGCTTAAGAAGGTATCCCCGATGTGTTTTTTCCCCTATAAATAGTCTAGTCCTGGAATTCAGTTCCTTTAGTCAAGATGTTACAAGTTTAAAAATCTGAAAAATTACCAGAGGAAAAAGAATTACTCACTTTGTTAAAATTTATTAAAAAGTCTTGCTAATATAAGTTTAAATGTAGGTTCAACTGGTAATTTCTTCCGTTCCCTCAAATTACATTCAACATGTATAGCTGTTTATAGCTTGCCTTCAGCATTATTCTGCTAGGCCGGTCAGTGTTAAATCTTTTTTTTCTTAATGTATTTGAAAGCCTGATCTTAGGTAAATTCAGATGTGTACCAGAGTGTGTATTTTGCAAAATGTTCTTGACTGAAGAGATTTATTTGTAAATTATCTGTTGTTTTTGCATATACCCAGTTGATGTGATAAAACTGTCTTTCTATAAAACCTTGATGATCAACTGGGGAAGCAGATATTGTAAAGCTTTTTATGTATTTTGAAAGTGCAAAATAAAGCAACCAAGTTTAAATAGATTGTCTTTTCTCTTGTTTTACCAGGCTTAAGTGTTTTGCTAGCATGTAAACTTTATTGCTCTCTGCTCCAGAATTACTTATTACTTATTTCAGTTACTCAGAAGCATGATAGAAGTTTGAGAATTGATACTATTAACTTTGGTGACTTGAAGAGTTTTGATGATTTAAGGAGTTTTGATGTGAGAAGCAGTTAAACAAGTAAAGGTGGTAGCTGACACAATATTCCTCAATAATTGTGTTATTATGAATCTGTATGTCAAAGAATGGTAGGATTTTAAACCTGTCATCTGTGTAGTACCTCCTGGAGGGCAGGAACCATATTGTCTTACTATCTCCAGTTCTTAGCACAGTTTGGAGCCTTGTAGAAACTCGTATTTGTCAACTTAAAAGTGGCTTCGCAAAGGAAGTGACCCTTGAGCTTTGGAGGAATAGGACTTTTCAGGCAAAGGAGAAATATCAGAAGTCCAGAATGGGCCAGGGATTTAGCTCAGTGGTGTTGCCATCTGCCTCACAAGCGGAAGGTCCCGAGTTCAATCCTTGGTACCAAAAAAAAAAAGTCCAGAAGGATGGAATTACATAGGAAAAGGTATAAGCTTGTGTGACTAAAGTTGGTTAGCAAGGTAATGGAGGAGGAAGGTGATGAAGGAAACCAAAACATTTCCAAAATATCATGGATTCTTGAGCTGAAGGCAATCAAAATGCAAGTAAACAGCCTTTGCTAAGTTTGCCTAAAAGGACAAATGCAACAAGAAAGTCTTTCTGACCTATTCCCACACCCAACTTTTTCCTACCTGAAAACTTTAAGTAAAATGTTCTTATCAGCTTAGAAATGGCCTTCTGGAATAGACTTTCTTTTCATAAATTTATGTTTGCACAGTTTTCCCACTTCTGAACCCTAGGACTGCTTTTCTGTCATCTGGTCCCATCTTTGAAATTTGTTGTTCTTAAAATACTATTTATGTCAGTCTCCTAAGCCACTGCTTTGAGTTGCTTTTCTCCCGAGTGATTAACAGCAATACATGTTGATATGCTGGCTTTTTCTTTCTTCTCTTGTTAATCTTCTGCAGGAATCTGTCCCAAATACAAACTTAAAAGAGGTGACGATTATATTTTCATTTCTTTGGAAAAGAGGAAGGGAAAGAAGTAGGTTACATGCAAAATGTTAAGGATGTCAAATGGATGTAGCTTTACCCTTTCCTACTTGAGAATAAAATTTGAAACCGTTACCTATTTAGTATTCTTGCCAAAAAATGTTGATTTCTCATAACTCCTAGCCATTTTCTATCCCTGAGCCAGTTGACACATCCAGAGCCTCTTGAAGGAAGTACGGGGAGGCCAGAGCCTCTTTAGGAAGCACTCTGCTACACTGCCAAAATAGATACTGATTTCTGCTTCACTCCAGTTTGCTGTAACATCCTGAGCTGGTGCAAGGAAGGCATTGACAGTTCTTTGGCTACAGCTTTGTGAGTTGATCATCACAAGGGTTCTTGGTGGGAGCATTTGGTGGCATGGGCAGCCAGCTATCCAGGTAGGTGTCTCTTAACTGTAACTGCTTAGGCAGGTACTGGAGCTCCTGAGAGTAATGGCCACATCCTGCATGCTCAACCAAGGTTGGTAGGATACACATGGTGCACATTTTTATGTCTTTCATTTTTATGCTACCTCTTTGGAGAGCACTGATGCTGTGTTATTCAGTGAACAAGAGAAAAAGACAGGAGTGGATCAGTAACTTTACCAGCATCTGTTCTCTCATTTTTCCAAGGTAAGAGTTGATAATCACATTAACTGCCTAACAAGGACAGTATTTGTTATGCCCTCCTTGTAATGCTATAGATTGGACCGGTACTGAATGTGTCTCTTCCCTGCTCTTATGTCACTTCCTAAGAGTGGTAGCAATAGCCATACAGCCTTGATTTTTCTCTTTTCTTTTTGCAGAGCCACAAGATGGAAGGAACCTGCATTCCTGCATGCGTACATTGCATGCTAACCTTTTAAATGAGAGCACAATAAATTTTTTATGATTTAAAATAAATTATTTGGTTTCTCGTTATAGCAGTTTCACTTTTTGCTCATACCTATTTCTCATTTTTGTCAAATGCTATTCAAAAGTTGGATTAATTGAAGTTGGCCCTTACTGGGTTGCACTAGTCCGCCATTTCCATTGTACCGATTTAGGGATAATGGGACTGACAGCATAAAAGACTTTGCCAGCCCACTGACTTTGAGTTCTAAGCTGTATGTGAATGACAGATGATGAACTATTGTTACAGTTTATTGCACATTTACATAGCACCAGGTACAGGCTGTTTCTATAGCATGTTGCTTTTTGAGCTCTTACCATAGATTGTTGCTGTTTTAATGGTAGATCATCACTAAAATTGTCTTAGGGTTTTAGTGTTTTTCCTATTTAGAAACCTTTCTGTTAAATAGAATATAGTCTGTACTATATTAGGTATAGCTTAAAATGTATTTTCAGTCTAATAGTATATAGAATTTTGAAAGGCAACATTTTTCTCTTACTTCACTACCTGAACAAGGTTAGAACTACCATTTTGGTGTTTTGTGGTTTACAAAACATGCTCATATGTAATTAATTCTTTACCAGTGTAATTCTTTCCTTCCACCCTTAGTGCTGATGATATAACCCAGAATCAGTGTGAAATTCTGTTCTACTGTCAAAAGTCAAGGGAAATTATGACTTGTCCAGGTCTACATAGTCATCATGGGGCAGGGCCAGGGTTTTATATAGATTTTTTTAGAGTCTTAAGGTCAGTATTCTTGAAAGAAGTAAAAGGTTAGTGGTAATTCAGAACAGGGTTCAAATCTGGACTCCAGTATAGACTAGCTGTTTGAGTGTGCAGTTAATGTGGTATGCAGCTTTAATGAGTTATATATAAAATTAACTACAAAAAACATTGAAAAAATTCAAACTGTAGTTTGGTAGATTTTTCTGTTTTTCACTTTATCCTCACTCATTATTACCCTCCATATTGGTTCCTCTGACTTCTGCGTTAGCGATAGAGCTACTCTAGGAACACCCTCCACAGTCATAAGAGGTAGCCAGCTGGTGGACGCAAGGAGTGGACAGTTAAGCTCCTGCAGCCTCAGTGCAGATTGGGACTCATTCTCTGTCAGTCTCTAGCTGCTGCACCAGGATTTAGCATAGATTTTGAGAAGACCCATTTCAGTAGCATGAACACGGTTATCGAACTCTTCTGTACTAGGAACCGAGATTAATTAAACACAGTTTTACCTTTTTAGCATTGCTTACACCATGTTAGAGAGTCAAGACTTAAGATGCCTTCCAGTAGCAGGTCTCTACAATGGAGGAGGGAAAAAAAAAATCTTTTTCTCTTTGGGAACTGGGGAGAAACAACATGGGAGAAAATAGCCCTCCAGATATTCTATGCTGTTTCCTAAGTACCAGTTAGTGAAGAAAAGGCCAACCTGGAGCATATACATACACTGATAGGGACATAACCATCTGGAAATTGCTACTTCATTATTTAACCTTTTGGCTACTGAGATTCTCAAGTAACAATGCTGTTTTAAAAAAATTTAAAAACAACCCACTTTAAAGTTCCCAACTCACTTAAGCCACAGTCTGTGTGCTAAGGGAAAGAGGGAGGAGGAGGGTGGGCATCTTTTACATACTGTGCCAGGCAGGTATGTTGATCAGTAATCCAGAAGAGGGAAAACATTTTATGCTAAGCAAGAAGACTCTTCTATTGTCTGACCTAATAGATGCAGTTCAGTCTCCACAGAACGATGAAGCTGGAAGGAAGCCAGTGAGATGGTCTTGCACACTACAGTGGAACCTATCACAGCCTTAACCTGCATGAGCTAATGAGAGCTGGATCTCCTAACGCACATGTCCTGAATCGCAGTCTGGTGTGTTCAGCATCACTCTGCAAATCAACTTTGTGGTGAGTGCATTTATATTAGAATAGTAATCATCTTTCAGTGTCAGTTGTATGAATGGTTCAGTTATCTTGCAATGCTATACTTACTAGCATTAAAACAACCACTTTTGTATTTGTAATAGTACTGTTTACATTGTCTGGAATCAAATGATTCCAGAGAATAGGTTGCAAGTTACTTCTAAAGTTGGTGTAACAGTACCTTATACACATAAAACAACAGAGATGCAAAATTTCCCTTTGCCAAAAGAAAAGTTGTGGCTAAAACTGATCCTAAAATGGGAATATTTGACCAGTTAGTTGGATCTGTTCAAAAGGAATAAACAGGCAGTAATCCTCCAAGTCGGGGTGTGTATGTTTGTGTGTGTGTGTGTGTTTGTGTGTGTAGATATATATAATCTCCAATGTATTTTCTCTTTTTTTTTTTGGTACTGGGGATCGAACTAGGGACCTTGTGCTTGCAAAGCAGGTGGTGGAACCAGTGAGCTAAATCCCTGGCTCCAATGTATTTTCTTCCATGTTTACTTCCATAACCATTTTGAAAGTCACCTTTAAATTTTATTCCTCCAGTGAGGTCTGTAATTCCATAATCTTGGCAAAATACAAGCTTAGTGGTAGAAAATTCAGTTACTCCTGCTTGTCTGTCCTCAGTTTGCCTGGAAACCTTTCTTATGTGTTTGAGAGTTTACAGAAAACCCAAGTGACTCTACAGGAACACGCCTTCTGATAGTTCCCATGAATGGCTAATCTCACTATATAATTAGTGATTTTCTCATTAGAAAGGATTTTTATCCTAATTGTGACTAGCACCGAAGCTCTTAGTGAAATTTTTCGTTTTAGATCCCAGTAATTTTTCTTCTTTCTGCATTCATAAAAAGGTTGTAAGTATTTCTATAAACAGTAGTTAGTTGTGCCTCCCTTACACAGCTCTAAGGCTAGAGGACTCTGCTCAGACTCTTGACAAAGCCCAGAGTATGGAGACTGGCTGATAGCAGGCTTATTTTGTTCAGCAGTGTTTCAGATACATTTAGATTTAATGTCGCACTTGAAAGCTGGGAGATGTCTCAGAAGCTCAGGTTCTTGGCTTCCCTTGATTAGCAGTAGTCTAGTCTACATCTGGAGATCTACCCATCTTGGGTCTTGGGTCCAGTTTTACTCTTATTTTAAGTCCATGCTTTATTTTCAAAGCAATAAGGTTGGATAGCAAATACCTCCTTTCATTTCTGGTACTTTAGATTGAACTCTGGAACTAAAGTGGCGTATAGAGAGTAGCAAATGCATCTGTAAAATGAACCATTTTCTTTTCACCAGAGCTGAAAGTGTTTACATTTCTACCAGCACCTTCCAGGGCCTCAGGCAGTGTTCTGCAGGGGTTGCTCTATGGTGAGGAAAACGAATCCCTAAAGTTCTGCTTCACCTCCTGTATGATAAGTATGTTGGAACATTTTATAATTATCTTAGACAAAATTTTGGAATTTGGTGACTGACCAAGATACTTTATAACACTTGTTAACTAGATCTGTTCACACCTTTTAGGAACTACATGCTTTTATTTTCTTTACAGAACTGTAAGACAGTCATTTCTTTTTTCCCCTTTGTAGTCTTTTATTGCTAAGAGCTAGGACTTAAAAGCATGAAGGTTACATTATCATTGTAGTATTTCTCCCATCCAAGTACTAACCAGGCCCGACGCTGCTTAGCTTCCAAGATCAGACAAGATCGCGCGTTCAGGGTGGTATGGCCGTAGACATCATTGTAGTATTTCTGTATTTCCTCAGGCCTTTGGTAAGCTATGTGACCTTTATATGAGGAAATGAAGAAAACCACTAAGGTGACTGTTGCCAGATTTACCAAAAAAATTTGTCTTTTGAAAATATACTGGGGGCAGTGCAGGCAGCTTATGCTTACATTTCTCTAGGCTCAGTATCATCTGCTGAAAACAACACACTACAGCAGTCTTCTAATAATTTGTTTAAAACCAAGAAATCTGCTCATATTATGTGAGGTTGTGGTAGGAAAGCTCTCTCACGTATTATGCAGTAATATAAATCAGAATTTTCTTTGAAGGAAAATTGGACTTGTTCTAGTAATTATTTTGCTACCAACTTACAGACACATGTGCCTCTGTAGGATAAGGTTTGAATGAGGCTGGTTAAATAATGAATAATGATGTGTATCCAAAAGTCATCTATTGAACAGTCATTGAAAGAATGAGGTGGAATGTTTACATATAAAGAAAACAAAGCAAGTCTCTTTTTGGTACTGAGGATTGAACCTACGATTGCGCACATACTAAGTACATACTCTACCACTGAGCTACACCACCACCTGCCATTCTTACGAGGCTCACTTCTATAAAACAGATGCTTTGAGCAGCTGTAGGATACACTAGAACTGGATAGCTGTGGTTACTTCTTGGGATGAGGAGGAAAAGGAGAAGCTTCAGTGTTTGTCCTTTCTGAAATTTTCATCATGTGCTTGGCACTTTGTTTTCATGGTTATCTATTTTGCAAAGCACCAGACCAGGGAAAGGGCAATACAGTTACTCTAAGTACAGGGCATTCTCCCCATTGGTGCTTTCTGAAGAACATCTTTCTAGCTCAGATACAAAGCCTTACTTTACCCAGCCTGTCTGCCCACTGGTTTCCTACTGGATTTACATCTGTCCTCCTTGAGACCTGATAGCTTTCCCCTCTGATAAATATGGAAAGCTAGGCCTCAGTGCTTCCAGCTTATTTGCCATCTATGGGAGAGGGGTGGACACACAGGTCTCAGAGGGTCTGTAATGGTAGGATGCAGAGTGAGTCATGCCTGAGCACAGGAGCAAACAAAGTTATCTGGATATGTTTACAAAGATTTGTATTCAGAAAGGTAGTTTGTTATTTATTAAGCATTTATTAAATACCTCCCTAAAAGGCCCCAGATGCCTCCAGGACCTTTAGGTAGGACTGAGACATATATGCAAGAATGGCACATATCAAAATATCTGCTCATTAGTTCAACAATTTTCCCTTGAACTAGAACCTCATAGGAACTTGAAATACTCAGTGACACAGCATCCTCTGATTTAAAGATTTGAAAAGAAAAAAACCATCGCAAGCGCAAGGTCCCGAGTTTGATCCTCGGTACCCCCCCCCCCCAAAAAGAAAAGAAAAAACCAGAAAACTTAGTTTTGAGAACTGCTTTTAAAGACCAACAGATTATTCCTTTCTATCTTTCCCTTTCAGCTGATCTTCAAAGTCTTCTGCCACAACAAGCTGATCCTTGTATTTTGTGTGGGGTTTTTTGGATGGGAGGGTACCGGGTATCAAACTCGGGTCCTTGCACTTGTGAGGCAGGTGGCAGAACCACTGAGCTACATCCCCAGCCCCAAGCTGATCCTTGTAGCTTTAGAGCTGAGCTGGGAAAGGCAGCCCACCTCATGCCCCCAGAGAAAACACATCCACCCAGTCAGCTGCTACCTGTTTTTAGCATATATTCCAGGGGTATGTGGGGTTTTTTTTTTTTTTTTTTACATTTGTGTACAGTTAACATTGCTTGACCCATAAATAACACTCGTAAAATTAACAGGGCCATAGTTTAAGAGTATTTACATAGCCCCACCATGCATACAGAGCCTTTTTTAATATTGAAAAATAAAAAAAAAAAATTTTAACTTTTCATCACTAGGCAATATAAATTTGACTATCTAATCTTATAAGCCCTGACTAAAACACAAGCAATCATTTCATCCATAAATGCTGTTTCTGGTTCCCTAACAAGTCTAGCACTGCAGTGTAACAAACATCTTGCAATTCAGGGATATAAAAATATCAGCTTTAAAATCTGAACTGTACAGTATGTACATTAATATTTGCACCGTTAAATTAGTAATACACTTAAGTCTATGAAATACTACATTATAAATAGCAATTTTTTTTTCCTATCTGGAGCTGGAGCTAATACAATGTTTACCTGGCTAATGGGGGCCAAAGGGAGACAAGTTGGCCTCACATGATAGGATGCACAGTGTTAGCTAGGTCATTATGACGATGTGCATGCCTCACAAGACAGACCGATCAGACCTGAGCCAACCTGACTTACATAATGACAAACACTATTGCGTTACAAAGGTGGCCAGGGCTCTCCGTCTGCTAAAATGCACACCCCATCCAATCACCTCATCCCTTTCTTGGAGACTGAGCCGCTCTATGAAACTGTAGTGAACCTGCCACAGACACAAGATGTCACATTAACCTGGCACCCAAGGAGGGTAAACTGGAGAAATCACACCTTTCAAATGTTAATCTGACACTGTAAACAGCAGTAGGGTTCTCATTTACACGGGCAAAGAAAGCACTTTAAACTATTGTAGCAACTTTCCTATGAAAGAAAAAAAGATACTGATGGTTAATGGCTAAGCTTAAACAAATGCTCTCCATAGCTGCTTGGTTAAGAAATAATACAGTTTTTGCCTTTGTGTCCTTTTTTCTTCTTGGACTTAGTTGTCCTCTGACCAAACTGAGGGGTGGGGAATGCAGAAGTTGGACTAGAAAGGTCATCTGTATAGTAGGCAAATCTCTGTGGCCTGGGCTGAGGGATTGGTTGACCAAGAAAATATCCTTCTTCTTCCGAGTCAGAGGAGGAGGAGGAAGAGGAACACCAGGAGTCATCATCGTCACCATAGAGCCCCAGAAACCTTTTCATTCCGGGGTTCTGCAGTGCATAGTCAGATGTGGCATGGGCGTACTGGCTGTAGAGATCACTGTTCTGAATGTATGCTTGCATCTCCTGGGCACTTTTATTCTGTATAAATTTCTCATAGTTATCGGTGGTATAAAGCCTCAGTCTGTCCTTGGAAGAGTATTTTCGTTCCGTGACAAGATTCAGGGCATTGTCAGAGCGAGACTTTCTACTTCTCCTGCGGCGATGGTGGTGAGACCTAGGCTCCCTCTCGTCAAAATGGTAGACCCGTCTCCGAGTCCTTTCACTCATTGGAGGCTGCCGGATTTCAATGTTGTCATAGCTTCCGTTGTCAATGACATCATCTGAAAACTTGACCTGCTGGGGCCTGGACTGAGACTTGGATCTTCTGAGCACTGGCAGATGTACTGGTTTTTCTTCAGGCATGATTTTCTCTGGGCATAATTCTGAGCTTAGACTTTTTAGGGACTCTGCACTCCTGTGCAGCATGGATGAGTTCAGAGTTCCCATATTGCTCATTTTCTCACAGTCTTCCGCTTCTATCTCCTCAAAGTTTTGTAGAGAATATAATGATGGTCTTGGCTTGCTTTCTGCATCTACAGAAGCCCCTAGAACAGGAGTCAAAACCAAAATGTGATTATCAAAAATTCCACTCTGACATTATTACAGACCAGATATCAAATGGAAGCATTTCAAAGAAAACTTTGAATTTCAATATTTAATTAAAGCCCCCTAGGGGCTTTTCTCCTCCCTCCCTGTCACTGCAGTGCCCCACACATTATTCTCGGCAGTGGGCAGCCACTGAAGCCTTTCATAGCTGTGTTACAGTAATAGTCTTTATGAGAGGACCAAGTGTCATTAGTTTGGTTATAAAACTAGCCACACAAGGGCAACACTTCTGTGTGTAAAGACACTGCAAATAGGAGATTCATAGCAGGCCTATTACATAGGCCACTCTATACAGTGCAATGTTATTTTAAGAGTAAAATGTAGATAACTGATATGACTGTGCTTTGAGAACATAAACTGTTGTTTTTTATAATATAAAGGCTCAGATATTTCTGAGCTATCTCTTGCCATAGGGAAATTCAGGAAAATTTTTTTTTTTTTGGTACCGGGGATCGAACTCAGGACCTTGCACTTGCAAGGCAGGTGCCGGAACCACTGAACTAAATCTCCAGCCCCAGGAAAATATTTTTAAAAGTCACAAACTTCTAAGTATTCAAGCCAATTTTAAAACCTTAAAATACATACAGCACAATCCAAAGAGCACAGAAGCTTTCAGATACAATCCAGTTGCAGACTCCCTTATCCAAAATAAGTCAGTTTCTCCTCCTTAAATCAGAGATCATCCCTATCTCAAAAGGCTTTGCTGAAAACATTTTTACGTATGCCCTCACCTGTGCACACACGTTTGTTTTGCTGTAGTGTCTGGCATTTAAACGAAGTGCTTCCCTTCTCTTGGCCTAGAGTTTTAAATAACCCCTACTGAATTACAATTTTTTTGGGTAAACTTTGGCTCCTTTTTCAAATATCCCATAAACCCTCAGATGACTTACCTGTGATATTAGACAAAGCCAGAGAATCCATAGAATCTCGAACACTTTGTTCTGGTTTCAAGTCTGACAAACACTCCAGGGAGTCTTCATACCACTGTGTCTGGTCATGATTGTATCCCGAGGCACCATGGTCCAGATCTAGCTCCTGGAGCCTCCTACTGCTGGCGGGGCCTGGGTGGCTGCCATAAGCGGAATCGCCAAGACCATCTTGTGACTGAGCCCAGTACATATCAGATTGGTATTTTTTACTTGCAAGGCTCTGGTGATTTTGCTTTAATTCTGGGGTGTTTTTAACCATGTTATCAGATATCCAGTGCTCACTGGCTCTAATATCCATCTCACTGGGCTGCTGCTGAAAGAGGCTTTTATCACCAAACTTGAGGAGGAGCTGTGTCATATAATCTTCATGCTCAGCCCATTCTTCAGGTTCTTCAGGAGTTTCGTGCTCTACCCTGCCTTTCCAAAATTCCTCATTGGCAAAACTGGCTCCTTGTCTGGAGAGACTCAGATCATCCAGCTTCCGAGACAGGGTGTCATCGGCATTGCCTGAGAGGCCAGGAAACTTATAGTTCAGAGCAGGGGACAGGAGAAGAGACTGCCGGCACTGATCTGCTGACCTGCTGCTCTTGCCCATGCGGATGCTTCTTCTAGAGTCTCTCGACCTCGCTGACTGGAAGGCAGAGTCAGAAGAGTCGGAGGCGTGGATATCTTCTCCGAGGCTACAGGTTTTTGAGCAATAAATCTGACCTTGTTTGGGAAGGAACGGGCATCCCAGCAAAGAGGCCTTACACTGGGCACAGGAGAAGCATGCTTCTGTGGCATGCCAGTGCTGCCCATCATAGGTCATCTGTGCATGGTCCACACCTGTTTGGAAGGAGCAAAGAAAAACAGGTTATAGCTTCAGGACAGGAGAAAAATGGACAAAAGGGAACTCTCCAGTGATGGAAATGACCTTGATAGGAGTGTGGGCGACACGGGTACAATTAATCCTCATTCTTCTATAGGTTCTGTATTTGTGAATATGCCTACTCACTGAAATTTATCTGCGTCCCCAAAGTCAGCCTAACACTCGCCTGGTCATTCACAGGCATGGCAAGCGGTAAACACTGAAGTCAGCAGACAGGCACATTCCTAGCTGAGTCCAGACAAACAGAATGCTCTGCCCTTGATTTCAGCTTCCTTACTAGGAACAAGTGTCCCATTCATGGCCTAGTCAGTGCCACGATTTTTGCATTTTTGTGCTTTTTACTGACAATTTTGCTGTCTGCCATGGCCCCCATGAATAGTGCTGAGGTGCTAGCCAGTGCTGCCAAGGTGCAAGGCTGTGACACGTCTGAGATAAACTTCTGATCGTGCGTGATAGTGCTGTTGCTGTTAGTTCAGTGTAATCCATCAATAATAAATAAAGTGGCTTTAACTCAAAACACACACGAAACATGGTTATGTACAGATGTGTTGATTCAAGTATGGCTGAGGCCATGGGCCAGTGGCAGAGCACTTGACCAGCACGGTGAGACCATGGGTTTGAGCCCCAGCTGTGTGTGTGAACAGAGGCTCATAGGACACCTTATTTTGCATCTCTCCATGTAGCAGCCTTTCAGTATCCACGGATGCAGCATTCACCAGGGCAAATAATAAGAATCAACTCTATCCTTTATCAAAACTCATTAACCTAAAACAGTTACAATCCACACATTTCACCTCATGTAAATTACACCTCAGTTGTTTAAAGTAGAAAAACAAGGCTGTGAATAACCCCGAGTGACTAACAGCTATGTGACGGGGCTGTGGACTTACCAATATGCTCCCCGCAGGTTTCACAGTACTCTGCATAGAGAGACTCAAAGCAGCCACAGCAGAAGGGACGGCCGTCCTTCATGATGTACCTCTGCCCTCCCAGGACTGTCTCACACTCCAGGCAACAGAAGTGTTTCATGTGCCAGTGGCGACCCTCCGCTTCTGTGCACTCATCAGCAAAAATTATCTGGAAAAGGAAACATGGACGCATAGGATGCAAGAAAAATAAATGTGAACTCTTTCAATGGCCAAGTAATTTTATGTTTTGTGGGCAGCTTTGATAGGTATTGGCTCTTCAATCAGATGGCTAACCTTGTTTCTTAATGGCTGCAGGCTTAAATCTGCTTTGATCTAGCTACAAAACAAGCATAGACTGAGAAGGGTACAAAAAAAAAATACATAGATGCTTGCTTAACTTTTAAAAAGGTGGGTATGGGGCCGGGGATTTAGCTCAGTGGTTTCGCCGCCTGCTGCACAAGCGCAAGGATCTGAGTTTGATCCCTGATAGCAAAAAAAAAAAAAAAGGTGGGTATGGTGGCACATGCCTGTAATCCTAGCATTCTGGGAAGCTGAGGCAGGAGGATACTAAGTGTGAGGCCAATCTGGGTGACTTACTGAGACTCTGTCTCAAAATAAAGTACTGGGGATGTAACTCAGTGCAAAGGCCCTGGGTTCATTCCTCAGTACTGGGTGTGGAAGGGGAAAGTGGGAAAAAAAATGTCTACATTGGAGGTAATAATTTGGTTCTGTATTTGCTGTCCGATAACACTTTGGTGGCATAATTCACAAAGAGAACATTAACATTGAAATACTTTAGTGGTCTTTGGTTCCTAACAGGAACAAAACAAAGTCTGTAGAGCTATCACAGTTAAATGGTGAAAACAGCACTTATATAGGTAATGTTTCATTTGACTTGGTGAACATCTCTAGAATAAGGACTTTATTTCAAGAAAGTGTTCGAATAGCGTATCATTGAAAAAATAAATCTATGAAAGTTAAAATTTATCCAGGCATGATAACGTGCTAATATCATAAGTTTGAGGTCAGCCTGGGATACAGGCTGAGATATTGTCTCAAAAAAAGAAAATCTGAAAATTTACTGTCACTGATTGAAGGAGATTAAGGACATCACAGAGTACCCTTCACTAGTACCAGAAGTGGGGAAATATAAAGTCGATAGTTTAGCATTGGTTTTATCACAATGTAAATGTCTTAGTTTTGATATATACATCATGGTTATATGTAAGATGTCACATCTAGGAGAATTCTGTATCTTCTCAACATTTCTATAAGTTTAAAGTTACTTTAAAATTTCCTTTCACATCACACACCCTGAGATGACCACTGTAACCTTGCCATGTGTCCTTTTCTGAGTATATACAAGTATGTATTCTCTACTGTCCACCCCCACCCCCACCCCATATTTAATACAAAGACCATCTGCTACATACTCTTCTGTAACTTGTTTTTTTTTCCTACGTCTCATTAAGGACACCATACTTGGGAAAACACAGAAACACACCTGCTGGCCTCTCTTATTAACTGCATATTATTCCACTATATGTAAGTACAAAGTTATCTTAAAATATACATGCACAATAAAAACCTGGAGAGACACATATTTGCTTAGATGTGAATAGTGGAATATTGGCTTACTCTCAACTTATTTTTCCAGCATTAAGGATGAACTTTTTTACCTCGTCACATGCTGAGCACCGTGGCTTGAGCAGTTCTGCATGGTGCCTGCCACAGTGAATTTTTCCATCCTGATAAAAATAGATGAGGTCGACCAGCAGCTCGTTACACGTGAAGCAGACAAAGCAGGATGGATGCCAGCACACTCCAGGGCCTGCCCGGGAGGCAAACACCGAGACCTCTCCTCCATTTATCTTCAGTCCGCACTATAAAAAGATTTGATTTGTTAAATCATCCTTTTTTAAAGACTGGATTCTCAGCCTTTCCAACTTTACCATAAGTCCTAAATTTGGCAGGAAAGCTCTTTATTTCTGGCTCCTCCTGTTAGTGATTAGATGGCTCTTAATACTGCATTATTGTGATTCTCAACCGCAGAGAACACTCTCCAGTGGACAACTACACTAGAAAGTACAGTTTCATCCAGCCCACACGAATAGTGGCTTTCCTGAGCCAGCCACCTGCTGGATACCTTTCCCACTCAGAGATCTTGCAGTAAGGACCTGGATGTCCTCATCATGTTTCTGTACTTTTTAAATACTAGGTGTACCCTAACTGCACGCTTTCTCCTGGTGTTTACATACAGGCAGAGTGATCCCACCATCACACGGTGGCACAGCCAGTTACGGATATGAATCACTGTAAAGTAAGAAGCTCAGCTGTCTTGATGCATGCCTGTGTCAGCTATCTCCTACCCCCGCCCTTATTTCCACTCATGTCACCCCTACCTGCTCACACACGGCGTGCACCACTGCCCTGGACAAAAGTTTAATCGTTCCTCTTCCAAGTGCTTCCTTCTTTCGCTGAGCACTGAACACCTGCAGTTCTTTTTTCTCCTCTTCACTCAAAGATTGGCAGTACCGCACCTGCACAGAAAAAAAGCCCCATGCTGGAGTACAGTCTTCCAGAGAGTTCAGGAGGTAAGAGCAAATTTAGCTGCCAGCCTCATGAGTCCCCAGTTTCAACAGTGATACTGTACCAAAATCTTGCAGCCTCTGTAGCAAAGGGGTAGTGTAATCTGAAGAAATAGCCTTGTTTTTATTTTTTAAAATATGAAATGTTTAAACCTTTCTCAGAAAGAAACACTGAAAAAAACTAAGACATTAACCTTTCTCAACAAGATTTAAACTTTTTAATTGACACTTTGATCCCATATTCTACAACACACTCAACTCTACTTTGGGCTAAACTTCCACAGTACGGCAGGAGGAGGTGCTCAGGAATCTGTGGGGCCCTGGTAACCGGTGGGTGGCTGCAAACACTATAAAAACCAATGTGTGTTCAATTTATTGTGCTGATGCCCTTTCTCTTCAAGAATGGAAAGCTGTATTCTCAGGCCACATTTTCAGTGAAGAAAGACCAGAAGGGCCTGGTGAGCAAGGAGCTGGGGTTTATGAGAAGCATCTTAATGCTTATCAGGACTTGCTTCTTTCTAATCCACCTTCTTCCCATTATTTTACCTCATTATCATGTGGTGGCAACTGGTATAAAAGCTGTTTAATCCGATGTTTCTCTCCAGGGCTGTTAACATAAGGAACCTTTTCCTCTGGCAAGCATGCAAAGTAGAGCTGGATCTGCATAAAGGACAGAGAGAATGACACCAGTACACAGAACCCGAACCTCTTAGCTCACTCAGTCTTTGCCTTCCCCTTGGTATGGGTTTTGGCCACTAGGAGCTAATGAGAAGACCAGCTGAGCCAGCTCAGCAGAACTTCAGACCTGCAGAAAACCAGCATCCAGCTGCTAAAGTGCTCCTCAGGAATGCAATTTGTAGTGACAATTAGGGACATCATAAATTATGTGCCATAAAATATGCACATTTAATGTTACTGTTCCTCAGCAGGTCTTCCAAGGGTCAGCCAAGGGATGAGCCCAAATCCAGGCGAGTTGTGCAGTTACCACACAGGCTCTATGACACTCCAGAATCCAGCCACATAAATACATTTACTTGCTCTCGGAATTTTACAGGTTACAGAGACAAAAGCTGTTTTGTTAAACATTTTAGACTCTTCCCCAATCAGGTTATCTCACGCATCGGCTTTCTTGGCTTCCATGGGTGCTATTTTCCAATATGTGGAGTCAGTTTTCCCAAGGAAACTAGAGAGGGGCCATGTTGAACTGTACTTAGTTTATTTGGAAGAACTTAATTTTTGTTTTCAAAGGTTACATGCTATAATGATGAGAAGGAATGAAAGTGATTCCAGGAAAAAAGGATGGATGAAGGAATTTATTTGGACCTGTCTGCTTCAGTATCAGTGCCACATGACTGACCTACCCAGACTGATATGAGAAAGGGCTCTAATAAGTAGTTTTTCAGAATAATGCCACTACTCCCCTTTCCCCCACCACGTTGGCTCTAAGCTTTTTACAGTCACAAACACTGAACACCACCTATGTGTGCACATACTGTGTGAGATTCTGGGTGAAGATCACCTTGTCCTCGGTTCCCACCCCACAGGAAACAGCCATAGCTCAGAAGCAGCTGCACACCCAATCTTTTCTTTCAAAATATGCTTTTGCCTTATAATAATAGCTATTGCCAGCAATTTTCAACAAATTCATTATAAGGACATCAGGAAAATAAAAATAGGCTTATATAGATTATTAAACTCTGAAGTTTTCCCATTGTATAGGGATAGACTTTGCTTTAGTTATCAAAGGTTAAACTCTAGGCCATACACCTCTGGATTCTTACAGCTCTGAATCTCTCTTCCAAGGCAAAAGCACTCCTGAGAACTGGCCTGGAAACTAAAGTTTGAAGACCTTTTTGTTGGCACTGAAGTTTTAAGGTAAATTTCACTCACTCTCTGATGGGTGACTTGGTACAATGCACATGCACTATGCTGGATTTCATCTGTCATGAGAGCGGAGACCCCACCACTGAGACACTAAGTAGGACCTTAAAATAAAAATTCAAAGCTACCCCAAGAGTCACGAGGACCAAGGAGGGTAGTATGCCAGTGTTGCAGTGCTATTCTATGTAGGTTTTTGGTTATGTCCTGGTGGTTTTGTTTTTTGAGGTAAGTTCTCACTGTGTAGTTTAGGCTGGCCTTGAAATTGTGGTGGTCCTCCTGCCTCAGCCTTCCAAGTGCTGGGATTATAGGTGTGTGCTACTACACCCATCTGGTCTATGTATTTTTAAAACAATGTTCTGAAGTCATAGATCACTGAAAAAAAACAATGGCTTGATGTGGCCTCACCTGCTCGGGTCTGAGGCCTGGGGGGACCCAGGCGTACTCCTCCAGTGCACAGCCAGAATCATCATCAGATGTGGAACTTCTCTGACATCCAAAGGCCAGTTTGCTCATTTTGGGCTCCATCTCCAAAGGCATACTAATGGGTTAAAAACCGGGTTTCTCAGTTGCAGGACATCCAGTCAAGGCTGCTATGGACAATACAAGAGAAAACAAGAGTTAACCAACAAAGAATTCTTTGTGTCTTCCAAGGGCTTTTATTGGATGCTTGTTTGCACTCAGCAGGGCCCAGAGAAAGTAGTTTACTGTGTCACCACCTTCCAATCTCCAGGGCTATCTCCAATTTGGAAATGGCCGTTTACCAGTTCAGTTCTTCAAAAAATGCCATCAAAGCTCATTTACTTCAGTTGCCTTTAAAAGGGACCTCTCTACACATACAACTCAGTGGAGAAGTACTCAGGAAAATTGCTTTGCTGCCTTCCTAACTTGCCTATAAGTGAAAGCTATGAATTCACAGGAGCTGTAGGAAGAAGTGTAGGTACTGGGCCATCTGCCCTGCTCACTGTCATGTGCCATGAAAAACGGCCGCAGAAACCTCACTCAGCTCCCCATCTTTCCTAAGCAAGTTTTCTACTGAGGCAGCGCCGCTTGCTGGGAATGGGTCCCCTGAGCCATGCTGCTTAAGTTTCTGACTTCTAATCATGACACCTGTTTTATATGCCACAACAGCACAGTTAACTCCTTATACAGTACATTAAATCCTCAAGTTTTTACGAAGGGCTGAAGTCAGCCAGACATTCATCAGTGAGTTCCTTCAACAGTAACTGAATACAGCATTAGGTTAAAATAAAATCCAGCCTGGTGATGATTAGGGTTTAATTGCATTATAAGCCAGCATTTATTGAAAAGTTATGTAGTACCTACTGTGTGTGAAATGCCACAGGGTAACCCACGACTAGGCCAAGGAGTGGATCCTCTGAATGAAAAGCAGCCTTAGATGAGGAGCAAGCAAGGTGTCTAGACAGCATTCCCTATCTTAGGACCCAGCAGCTTTGTTGTCACCTGGATTGTCTTTGAAGTGTCTTCTGAGTCTCAAAAATCATCCCTCACCCAAAAGAACTAAGGGGAAAAATAACAACTTTTAGAATCAGGTGCAACTTTTTATATCTGCACCCCCACCAGTGATGTAAAGAGAGAAAATTATAACTAGTCCAACTCAATCATTTTAGAGGAAAGACGGGTCAGAAAGGTTAAGTACTTTCCAGGGTTACACAGCTAAAAGCAGAGTCAAACTTCCCCTAAATTCTTCTGCCTTATTAAATGGTCTCATTTGCTTAAACACAAAGGAAAAAGGCAAGAAAAATGAAACTACGTCAGCCCGAGATGAAGTCATTTTCCAACAACTATCTCAATGCCAACTCACTGTTAATGTCACCTACTGACATGATTTCAAAATGTATAGTTTTTCCTTTATAAATCAAAGGAACAATAGTAGGCCAAGCATCTCATGGCTGCAATCTTTACTAACAGCAGGAGCAATGCCACACATATTATTCAAACAAATTTAACTTTCCCCCTCAACAAAATAAAGACGACCTCATTTCCTACACTACCATGCAGAGGTTGTGACCTTTTAAACAAGTTTCACACAGGTGCAATTCATTCATGTCTTAGGCTTTCTAAACATAGGCACATTCCTCTAGCTCCTCAATAAAAAAGGATGTGTTAATGAAAGTCAGAAAATGTCTTGGGTCCAAATCTTTCCCCTTTGTTTTGAAAAAACAACCCCCACATGTGAACCAGAGGCTAACACTTTAAATTAGGAACTAAGCCGCCACCAAAACTGGTGTCTTTAGGGCAATTTAACCTGATTCATGAAACCTGAACATTTATTCCTTGCCTAATCTGGCTGGGGGGAGATACTCCATTATGTACTCTGCAGGCTTACAAAAAGCTAGTAAACAGAACCTGAAAGTTTAATGTAACCATAGGATGCAACAAAAGAAAACAACACAAATTATGACAAACCATAGATTTTCCAAGTTAGCACAAAAACTGCCAGAGATCTGAATTTGACAGCTGTATTCCTTGATATGCCTCTGTAGAAAATGTGGGGTAAACAGCCGCCCTGGTGGCGGTAAGTCAACACCAGCACTAAATGCTGCCATGGACGCAGTGCTGGCCGTACCGCACACCCGTGACCCTCAAATATCCACTTGCTCCTCTGAGTTAAGTACAGTGAAGACAGTCACTCACTGACCAGAGAGTACAGCCTTAGGAGCATGAGTGACAGAAACGTTTTCATTATAAGCTGGTGTTCAGTTTTCATTCATAGTATTCTGCCAGCTCCGGAGTCTTAATAGTGGGTACTATTAAGGACCCACACACCACAGGCAGCAACCCAATGTAGGTGGTATCTCACTTAACAGATAAAGGACTGAGCCCCACAGTGATCTGCCTCAGGGTTGGTTGTCCAGGGCCAGTAGGTTAACATAAGCACTGGCCTCAGGACTGGGAAATTTGTGATCCCAGGGATCACAACCCTCTTTGACCCTACAGTGCCTCCTAGGGGCAGCAGCAGATCAAGCCAATTCCGTTTCTTTGTACAACCCAGCTGCAGATTGGGGCAGCCATCCACCCACAGAAGGCAGAGGAAAACATGCCTTCAAGAAGGACTAAAATCTCAATGGCCTCACGAGTTCACTGGTTAGAACCTGCTCACTAGAGAAAGCCTTATTTTTCCTTTATATTAGGAAAGCGGACTGAAAATCAAGCATTAAAAACAAGTTACACAGCATGGGCTCCACCTGGACCAGGTCTGTGGTAAGAGCTACTATGTCACCCAAGCTTCTTTACCTGGTGCCACAAAAACATGCACTTGAATTTTCCTTATGTTAAGATTAGCTGTTCTTGCCAGCAGACCTAGAGAGTCTATTCTTGGCTATAACATGCCTTGTGTGGTGCTAGATGACAGCAGCTGGCTGCTCTGAGCATGGCTTTTTTTTTTTTTGGTACTGGGGATTGAACTTGGGTCCTTGTGCTTGCGAAGCAGGCAGCGAAACCACTGAGGTAAATCCCCGGCCCTGAGCATGGCTCTTTTGCTTGTAGAAAGTTAAAAATGAAAAGTTAAGAGCACGGTCCCGGTTAAGTTTCACATGTGTCGCTCAGGCATTTACGTTACTCTGTGGTGTTCACCGAGACAACACAGATCAAAGGGTGCCCTGGCCATGACCATGCTCTGGTTGTGATGGAGGTCTTTCTGATGCCACCGGAGCCTCTTGTACTTGCTCTGCCAAAATACCACCTTACTGTAGGCCAAGACAGGGGGCCATGGGAGAAGTGGATGAAATGGAAAAAGCCCATTAACTTCATTTTCCGCTGTCATCTTTTCAGGTAGATGAAGTTAAATAGCAGAAATCAGGTTTACAAATCGGGCTGAGTTATACTGGAAATAGAATTATTCAAAGCTGGGGTTGTTCTTCTGCAGAGTGACTCTTAGATGGACAATCATGGCGCTACCTTCAGCCCTGCAGTTTGCTTCTTTGGAATTTTAAATTTGATTAATTTCAGATTTCAGAAAAGTTGCAGTAGGAAATGAACTCTCATACACCCTTTCCCTAGACTCATTGGTTATTCACATTTGCCCTTCTGCTTTACCATCATCATCCTCCCCACCCCGTCCTACCGTTTGAGAGTACTTTTTACATTCTCTCACAACCACAGTTAAACATGTTCTTTTAAAAACATTTAATTAAAAACGAGCTATGTGCACAGGCTGGGGGTGTGGCTTGGTATCAGAGTTTCTGCTTAGCCTTCGAGCCCTAGGTTTGATCCCCAGCACCAACCTTCCTACCCGCAGCGATACCTATGTGCAAGGCGTATCAGAAGCTGGAAACAGAGCAACAAGCCAAAACAGATGAACCGTCAGAATTCTGCGGCTTCTCTAAGGCAGGCTTACTGTCTAGGTCTTGGGGTGCTATAATAAATGGAATTACCCTGATCACAAATGAATGACAAGGATGCATGAACCAACCCAGCACTAGGTTTGGAAATAAACAAATAGGAGTCCTACCCCTCTGATGTCTCTTTATACTTGTGCATGTAAGTAAATCTCAATAAGGAGGAAAAGAAAGCCGTGTTTAGGAATGGGTTTGCTCAGGTTCTAAGCAGAGTCTGGCCACTTGGGAAATGTGCAGAGGAAGTAACACCTTTACTGGCCTGTACATCAGCAGGACAGCACTGAGATCCAGCACAGAGGACATGGATTTGAATTTAATTCAAGCAGGCTGAGTTCTCTGCAGACACCTCCAAGGACTAAATGCACCTAGTAAAGAAATGAATAACAGAAGCAAAGGTCATAGCCAGGATGTGATACATAAACCTAAAGCTAGTAGAGTGGGGATACCTGTTTCTTAGAAAGGATTTTCATGAGGGTATTCCTCGGAAGCCATGCCATAGAAAATGGTCTGCTTCATTTCTCTCTCGTCCTTTCTTTGCCCTCTTCCCTGAACACAGCATTTAAAAAGACTCACACACAAACAGCTTGCAGATGCGGCTTCTCAGTCATCGTATAATTGTCAAGAGAACATCTGACCCAGGGAGAAGAGGGAGGCACAGAAAGGAACTGGGGCTCTGAGCATTCAGCGGGCTTTGTGCTTTCACAGTTTACTAAACATCGGGGGACCTCGTTCTTTAAAAGTAGCAACTGTCTTCCTTCCTGAGATTGTTTAAAAATACAGAAGAGTTTTAAATTTTAAAAAATGACATGTATATAAAGAAACGGAGTTACTAGTGCAGTTATGACTGCAGCTGTTACTTTGCACTGTGACTAGACAGGTTTTCTTGAAGCTGACCAGTGACATTCAGAATAGGAACATGTTAAGAACAAATGTGGACCACATGGTGACACCCGGGTTCCATCTTTTTGAGCTTGGGAAGGGCCGAGTCTCCTGAAAGGGAAAGGATTTTGCCAAACTACTGGCCATCGTTTCTAGCTGCCCACCTCACACACAGTGTGTGTGATGTCCATGGAGCACGGCAGGACTTGCCAGCAGGCACCGCTTGAGCAGACTAAACACCTCGTGTGTGCTTGCTTGTGAGGGGCACCTGTTCCCCTACTTAACAGTATGGCCTCATTTATCTTCATATTTAAAAGTCATTATTGATGGGTTCTGGGCAATATCAAAAAGGC